TGGTGACAATCATAAAACAGTGGAACTATGTAACAAAGAATATGCAGTACTTTACTCTAATGAAAGTAAGACCCCTTTATACTCATATGAACATACCCTTGAAACAACTGTAATTACCCGACATTCAACTTTTAAAGAAGATAATAGGGTAACACCATTTCAATCTGAAAACAGCGACTATGCTCATTCTGGTTACGATAAAGGGCATTTAACACCTTCAGGGGATATGACTGATGAATTATCTCAAGAAGAGTCCTTCCTTTTGTCTAATATTGCACCTCAAGCAAGTAAATTTAACCAGCAACAGTGGAGATTATTTGAAGCTTCAGTCAAACATAAGTATAAATATGTTATTACTGGAGTACTTTTTGATGAATATAAGATAAAATCCATTGGAAATGGGGTATTAGTTCCAACTCATTTCTATAAAATTTTAGTTAATGATAATTGTTCTGTTGCTTATATTGCTGATAACGATGATGACACAACAATACAGAAAATACCAGTGAAAACTATTGAAACAATTAGTAAAATAATATTCAATATCCCATATAATACTTGTAACTAGAATTAGCCACCTATAAGGTGGTTTTTTATTGACTTTATTTTTATTTATATGTATTATAGGTTTCATCTTAAATTAATGATTGAGTAATAACATGGATAAACAGCAATTGAATTTTGATAAGGTTAGGTCTTTTGTAGATGAGTTGTATTTTGAATATCAAAAAGTAGTGAAAGCTTGGGATAATGTTAATCCTGTTTTAGTAAATCGGATTTCAATTAATTCAAAAGCATATCACAATTTGTTTATAACAGCAGAATTTGAATACTTGATTAACTGCTCTGAACTACTAAAAGAAATACATAGTAAGTTGAAAATTACAAAGGAATTAGCAGATACTTTAATAAAAGCATCTCCAGAATATGCTGAAACACTGGAAACATGTATTTCAAATGAAGATTTTTTATTAAGATTATTGGGTGATAATTACAGCTTTAAAACTGATGAGAAGTTAATTAGAGAAGTGTTATTAGATTATTTAAACTACCGTAAAGTAAGTCTGGCATAAAGGAGTTTAACATGAGTGAATATGAAGAATATCAAATTGGAAACATTGAAGTTAAAACTGGAAATGATACTAGGTTTTATAAATATGGTTTAGAAGCTATCATTCGTTCAGAAAATGGTCAAGGTTGGGGTTTACCATTAATGGATATTAAACCAAATGATTTAAGGGATTTAGCTGATCTAATGGAGAAAGTAGAAGCTGATTTAAAAAATAAAGATGATTTGATTATAAAGAAAAACGATCTTATATCTGAATTAAAGAAAATTGGTAAAAAGATTAGGGTTATTGAAACCAAAGGAGATGTTACTAACACTTATGAATGTGATTTTGGTTACATAAATTATCAAATATGGTTTAAAGCTAATGAGAAATTAGATCACTCTTTCATTGACCAATTAAATGACCAGAACTATGCAAACATCGAAACAGATGATTTAACTATTACTGCAATTTGCATATAAATAAAGGGAAGCATTAGCTTCCCTATTTTATTACCTATTGTTTATCAATCTACTATCTCCCATGAGCCACCATTTAGATGTGGACAACTAGGAAGAAATATTGTCAGTGGTGAACCATAGTCACAATTAATCGTGAATAATCCATCTTGAGGGTATTCATCCTCATCAACAACTTCATAAACTTTACCTAATGTTAAATAGTTAGGACAATATCCATTTTTAATTTGTATTTTCATAGATAGCTCTCCACTTTATCAAGATGAAACTTATTATCTTCCATCTAACACCTATTACTCATTATTTAATCCTTATTTATTAACCCAATTATTTCAAAACCATTCCCAATGTACTTGTTACAAACTGGTTTAATTATGAACCAATTATCTAAATCAGTGGCTACTGGTGTTTTTCTGATTCCCTTATCTATATATAAGTTCTTCAACTTTA